CATGAGGCTGTGTGCCTGAGGGTCAGGTTAGGGTGGCCCATGGCTGTATCCAGTGGCTTGGCGGGCCACATCTGGTCCCCAGGACGTATTTTGCCCAGTCCTGCAACACACTATGTAATAAATGCAACAGTCTCTCTCATTTTCTCTCATGTTTATCTCCCCGGCGCAGTTCTGAGTGTGAAAACTGCAGTATGTGGTAGGCAGGTGATCCCTGAGCAGTAGCTACCATTCATGCTCATGCTGTTCTGAAGTTTTTCAGCCTGGAGGGTCTCTGAACCGCCTGGAGAACAACAGTACCGGGGAGAGACTCAGCCCTCAATGCAACGGCAGCTCTGCCCTGACAGATTTCCAGTCCCGCCTGAAACAATTTGTGTGTGAATCATCTCCCAGCAACTCAGCAGGTACCTCACCTCCTTCTCTCAGCTGCGCCTTGCACTGCAGCACCACCTACTGGTCTCTTGGGGTAATGACACCAATGACACAAACTACTGCAATAAATAGTAATAGAGATGCAACTGAAACAAAAGACAGGACTATGCATAGTCCTGTCTTTTGTTACTGCAATAAAAGGAGATTGGTGGGTGGGATCCAACCTGGGACTTCTGAAACTAAATGAGCGAGATTCTACCACATGAGCTAAAAGCCACAAGGGCTTAGCTAAGGCTATAGAGCAGACTCATTAATCTCTCTCTAAGGCTATGTCTATGCTGCTGCCTTTTGCAAATGAAGAGCTGATTAGCATTCTCTTATGCTTAATTTGCATAATCTATTTGAGCCATTTTTGCACAAAAACAAGTAGAGTAGTGAGGGATAAGGATCTAGTGCAAAAAGGGGTTTTTGCACAAAAAGGAAATATCCACACTGCTTGTTTCTGTGCAAAAACCCTTTGCGCAAAAACTACCCGAATAGGTTATGCAAATGAAGTATGACAAAATGTTAATCAGTGCTTCATTTGCATACTCTCTGCCGGAAAAAGCCAGCAGCATAGACAAAGCCTAAGTGGTCTCAGTGCCACTACATGGGATACCACACCCAGAAGGTGTTTGTGGATTACATGACAAATATTCAGTGCTACAAACTAGTTAGGGCAGCTGGCAGCAATTCCTGTGTTTAGTTTCCCTAATACTTCCACTGTAAAAAGATCTTGTGGTACCTTTGAGAAGCTTTCACACTTCCATTATTGGAAGCAGGCCTTGGAAATATGAAGCAAAATGCAGGACAATGTAGCACTTTAAAGACTAACAAGATGGTTTATTAGATGATGAGCTTTCGTGGGCCAGACCCACTTCCTCAGATCAAATAGTGGAAGAAAATTGTCACAACCATATATACCAAGGGATACAATTAAAAAAAATGAACAAATATGAAAAGGACAAATCACATTGCAAAGATGGTTTATTAGATGATGAGCTTTCGTGGGCCAGACCCACTTCCTCAGATCAAATAGTGGAAGAAAATTGTCACAACCATATATACCAAGGGATACAATTAAAAAAAATGAACAAATATGAAAAGGACAAATCACATTGCAGAACAGAAGGAGGATGCGGGGGGGTGGGAAGGGGGAGGAAGGAAGGTAAGTGTCTGTGAATTGCTGATATTAAAGGTAGGGAGAGTGGGATGTTTGTGAGTTAATGGTATTACAGGTGATAATTGGGGAAACTGTCTTGATAATGGGTGAGAAAGTTCAAAGACTTGTTAAGTCCTTGTCGGTAAGTGTCGAATTTTAACATGAATGACAGTTCAGAGGATTCCCTTTCAAGTGCAGATGTAAAAGGTCTTTGTAGCAGAATGCAGGTGGTTAAGTCATTGAGAGAGTGTCCTTTCTGGTTAAAATGGCAAGAAACTGTTTTCTCTTTGTGATCTTGTCTGATAGCTGTTTTGTGGGCATTAATCCTTTGGCGAAGTGTCTGAGATGTTTGTCCAATGTACATAGCAGACGGACACTTTCGGCACATGATAGCATAGATTATATTTCTGGATGCGCAGGAATATGTGTTCTTGATCTTATAACTCACTTGGTTAGGTCCAATAATGGTATCAGCAGAATGAATATGTGGACAAAGCTGGCAACGGGGTTTGTTGCAAGGGAAGGTACCAGGGTTGGTATTAGTGTGGTATGTCCTGTGGTGGTTGGTAAGAATGATCTTGAGGTTAGGTGGTTGTCTATAGGAGACTATGGGTCTGTCTCCCAGAGCCTCTTTGAGTATGGTATCCTGTTCCAATATAGGCTGTAGTTTATTGATAATGTGTTGGACAGGTTTAAGTTGGGGGTTGTAGGTGATGACAAGTGGTGTTCTATTGTTGGTTTTCTTGGGTCTGTCTTGAAGTAGATGGTTTCTAGGTATTCGTCTGGCTCTTTCAATTTGCTTTTTTGTTTCTCTGGGTGGGTAGTTGAGATTTATAAATGCTTGGTAGAGATCCTGAAGCTTCTGGTCTCTGTCAGTGGGGTTAGAGCAGATGCGGTTGTATCGAAGGGCTTGGCTATAGACGATGGATCGTGTGGTGTGTTCTGGATGGGAGCTGGATGCATGTAGGTAACTGTATGAGTCAGTGGGTTTTCTGTAGAGAGTGGTGTCTAATTTTCCATTGTTGATTTGTACGGTGGTGTCCAGGAAGTGGATCTCTCGTGTAGAATGGTCCAGGCTGAGGTTGATGGTGGGGTGTAGGTTGTTGAAATCTCTGTGGAATATCTCCAGTGTTTCTTGGCCATGTGTCCAGATCATAAAGATGTCATCGATGTACCGTAGGTAGAGGAGGGGTGAAAGGGGACGGGAGTTGAGGAAACGTTGTTCTAGGTCAGCCATAAAGATGTTAGCATACTGTGGGGCCATGCGTGTACCCATGGCTGTGCCGCTGATCTGGAGGTATAAGTTGTTCTCAAACCGGAAATAATTGTGGGTGAGAACAAAGTTACATAGGTCTGCTATCAGGTTGGCAGTAGTGTCCTCTGGGATAGTGTTTCTAATTGCTTGTAATCCGTCTTCATGTGGGATGTTGGTATATAGAGCTTCTACATCCATGGTGGCAAGGATGGTATTATTGGGGAGGTTATCGATGTTTTGTAGTTTCCTTAGGAAGTCAGTAGTGTCTCGGAGATAGCTGGGGGTATTGGTTACGAAGGGTTTGAGAAGAGTGTCTACATAGCTGGATAGACCAAGACCAATACCAGAGATGATGGGACGTCCGGGGTGCCCAGGTTTATGGATCTTGGGAAGTAGATAGAACAATCCTGGTCGGGGGTCAGAAGGTGATTCTGTGTGGATTTGTTCTGCTACCCCAGACTAACACGGCTACATTTCTATCACTATTGGAAATATGAGGTAGGCAAGCCCTCGGGCTGGAGAAACAGGTTTGCTTTGGCCCAGGAAAAATCTCAGCAAATCCTGGATGAAATGTGAACTCTGGACAAGTCGCCACTTCTCCTATGGCTCCTGATGCTCAGGAAGACTGTGTAGCAAGACAAAGAGAACAGCAAGAACAGTGAGAAACACTGGGTTCACCCTGGTGTAACTGCACACTCCCAGTGTAGAGTGTGGGGGAGGGGGTGAGATCTGGGCCAGGCTCTCCCTCACCCAACACATAAGAGCAGCAGGTTTGTAGAAATGTTGGTGGTGTCTAGAATGCCTGCACCTCTCCCCCACTCTAAGTTGAGCCCGTGCACAAGTTCAGTGAAGTTCAGAACTGTCAGCTCCATGACACATTTCCATTTTCCCCTCCAGAGGCACCGGGGTGCAAGCTCTGCCCCCCAGACTGGCTGCTGCACCGGGACAAGTGCTACTGGGTGTCTAAAGACAAAGCTTCCTGGAACGAGAGCTGCAATAACTGTTCAAGGAGGGGCTCCCGACTGCCAGTGATCCGGGACCAGGCTGAGATGGTAAATAACTCTTCCCTTCAGGACTATGAACATCACTAGTAAAAACAGACAGAGCCACAGTGCTGTGTGTCTCTGCAGGGTTCCACTGTATACATCTGCACATGCTAAAAAGCAAGGATGAAAAGTTAAAGGGAGCAACAGTACAGAACCTGCGCTCTGCCACTTCACGAATAGCATGGTCCCCATAAATCATGGGTGGTACGTCTACATTACAGCGCTAATTCAAACTAACTTAGTTCGAATTAGTTAATTCGAACTAAGCTAATTCGAATTAGCACATCCAGACTTAAAAATTCGAACTAGCATGTCCACATTGAGTGGACCCTGAACTGAGGCTGGAACTGAACTGAACTGAAATGAACTGAACTTCTGGATGGCCGGAAGCAGTGCCGGCAGAGCATCAGAATAGGACTTAGAGCGTGGAGATGCTGTCTCAGGCTAGCTGAGGGCTGTGCTTAAAGGGACCTGACCCCCACCCCGGACAGACAGTTCTCAGGGGTGCCCCGCTTGCAAAGCAGTCCTGTCTTGGAGTGCCCTGAGTGCCCACACTCGGCACATCACAGCACTCGGCCATCAGCCCGGACGCACTTGCCGCAGGCTGCCATCCGGGAGAAGGGGGCAGTTGGGGGGCTGCCGGAGAACTTCCACCCCAAGCAGCCCGCAGAGCCACCCCAGTCCTCCCCATCACGAGCTCGTACCCCATTCCTCCCTCACCTCCTTCCACTTACCCCTCACTAGCCCCCCTTCCTGATGTACAAAATAAAGATAACGTGTGTTCAAAAACAGAAACTCTCTTTATTGAACAAAACTGGGGGAGACTGGGAAAAGGAGGTGGGAGAGGGGAAGAGAGAGGCTGG